TTTCTCACCCCCCCCCCCTCAATTGGGGGGGGGGGGGGAGTTTTGTCTGTAAATTCACTTTAAAGTGGAGGTAAGTCCCCTACACCCATCTCCCCTCCAGCCATGTACCATCCGTGACCTGCCTCGCTGGCACCAACATCTTTGCTCCAGGATAACGTAACTCCTGCACATGAGAGTTCATTCATCTGGCACCAAGGCTTGCTGAGATTGTACAGCAGGCAGCCATGTGGGAAGAATTGAATGTAGAAGGGACATACACTCTGGAATGAATGAAGAGTGCCATAGCCAGTCATTACCAATCAATCTGTCGGTGTAACAAGTGCCGGAACTCGCCACAGATTCATGTTACTGTCACTGAGATGTTTCTGAATTTGTTGCAGAATTTGCTCCGTGACACAATTCCCTCCAACATGAAAGAGGTCTTGTGCACCTCCACTTTTCTCACCACCGATATGGTGCAAATAACTAGGAAATAGCCAGACAATAACGTGATTTTAGACAAATGATTCCAGGGGCAGATTTAGCAGATTAGATAAAAGGATCTTTAATATCTGATGGTCAATAGTGAATAAAGGAAGGAGTGACTAACATGTATTATCCTTGGCAGGGGACTGTTTGTTGGATGCGCCAGCCACCACTCTGGACCTTCCACAGGATCTTCCTGGAACATCAGCGCAATACAATTTGGACAATCAGTGTCGTCAGGTTTTTGGCAAAGAGTTCTGTCACTGTCCTAACACCAGGCCAGAAGATATCTGTGCTCAGCTCTGGTGTAAAATACAAGAGGATCAAGCCTGTCACACCAAAAATGGCAGCCTGCCCTGGGCCGATGGGACACCCTGTGGGGACCGCCACCTGTGCTGGGATGGAGTTTGTCAGGAAGAAGAAGTTGTTCATAGACCAAAGGTAATATCAAAGTCTGACACTGACAGCAGTTACCTCCCAATAATGATGTGCCAGACATAAGATTCAATTCAAACATTGCATGAACCACCAATTACTGCCACAAGATCATCAGAAGCTCTATGACTGGAAATGTTACACATCTTCACTAATGGAGCTCCCAGAATAAAATAGGAGGAGTCAGCTGACATGCCGTCCTGTACTGTCCTGTACATGCTCAGTAGAGGGAAATGGCTATAAATCCCAGAACTAAACATTACAGCCAAACACTGGGAAATCCTCTTCTCATGTCACAGAGGAAGTCACAATCAATAATCACAATATAGTAACATGAGAAGAACCCAAATGAATAATAAAAAGATCTTCATGTTATAACTTGTCCGTTATTAAAGATTAGGCCAACCAGAGCTGACTTCCTGTCACCTGATATAATATTCCAATGTTGTTATTTTCTGATTCCCTTTATAGCGACAATTCTCATTTTATGGAAGCAAGCGTCCCCTCCCTAATACATCTCCATAAAAAAATACAATCTCTCACATATCATTCTTTTATCTTTATAACTCTCAAAGTACATGAAAGCCCAATCACTAAACTCTCATAGAAGATACAAGACCTTTCCCATAAAGGTCCTTGTTCAGGCACTTCCTGTTATAGGGTGACAACGTTCTGTCCTTGTTCAAGCACTTCCTGTTATAGGGTGACAATGCTCTGTCCTTGTTCAGACACTTCCTGTTATAGGGTGACAACGTTCTGTCCTCTCGGGTCTCAGGTGGGCTCTGCAGGCTCTCAGGTAGGCTGTGGTGGGCTATGTAACCCAGCCACAGCCTTCTAAACCCGGACTGTCCGGGTCAATCCCGAACAGGCGACATCTCTAGCTCCCCTGGTGGAGACTAAAGACAGCCATGGTGACACACATTGTTCAGACATAGGCAACTGTTGTCACTATCAGGAAGTCAGATCAGAGCAATGATGTGCAGTGGCACAGGAGCAAGTGCATGCAGACAGAAAGTGGCTGAAAGGGGCTGCAGGAGATCAGCAGCACTGAGAATGAAAAAGAGTGAAAACATTTTTTACAAAGAAAAAAAGCAAGGCATTTGCACAGGTCAAACTAAATATCATCTAGTAAATGTTGATGTGTACTTTCATGTTAGGTTTTGTATGGTACCCACTCATAGAGGGCTGGAGGTTAGGGAGATAAGGGTGTTCTGATTTTTGCCGTTGGATAAGAGGAGCAGAAAAAGACGTGAAGAGGAGAGACACTGAAATACCCGAACTTCAGAGATCTGACTGAACTCTCCTAGCTAAGCATGTGTCACATATCAAAAAAGAGAATACTAGTTACCCTATGTGTCCACAATCAGGCCGACACCGGCCACCTGAATCCAGCTGAATGATGACTAAAGCCCCTCCCCCGCCCGGAGAGCTCTGGGCAAGGGGGACGGCAGCACCAGACTTGCCTATTGGGGGTGCGGATTCTATAGATTCTACTTGTGTATGATTCTCAAACAATGTATATTATGCCGGAAATAATGTTTCAATTCTTTGTGTCATTTGTGTCTCCTAGGTTCCCGTGGATGGAAACTGGGGGACTTGGGGTCCCTGGGGCAAATGTTCACGGAGCTGTGGAGGGGGTGTACGTTTTTCTTACCGCGACTGTGATAATCCCAAACCTGAGAATGGTGGCAAGTACTGCCAAGGCCAGCGAGCCATCTACGAATCATGCAACACCCAGGAGTGCCCTTTGCAGGGTAGGGCCCTGATGTTATTTCCCTATCCTGTTGTAGACTGTCCCTAGCAGTCTCTGCACCTACACTGTACCTGTAGGTGTATATCTAACATTCCATGATGGCTTCTGCCCCCTGTGGACCCCAAGCTGTGAGTGCTGGCACACTGATGTCAGCTGGTAATCCACAGGAAGCACACATCCTAGGATGACAACACTGCTCCTGCATTAGGAGCTGCTCAGGGAATGTTGTCACCCTCAGACCATAAGCCTAAATACTGGCAGGATCACCAGGTAAAAAAGAAAGAGGCAGACAGGATGCTGCTTGAACAAGTCAAGGCGACACTACCCTTGTATTATTATTTCATTTCAGTTTTCGTTATACCGTGTTTCCCCGAAAATAAGACACTGTCTTATATTTTTTTTGGCTCAAAAAAACCACACGAGGTCTTATTTTTTTTAATGTACAACAATCTACATGTATTTATGTGCAAAAATATGGTGATCAGGGCAATCAGGGGGGCCGTACTTTTCCAAGAGCTATTTGCTAACCAATCTCTGGCCAGAATGAGCGGCGCTGTCACTATGGATTCCTCGCAGGCGGAGTGCGTTTGGTATGACTCTGCCTGTGACAGGAGGCGGGGCTATAGAGGAGGCGTCGGCTTATGCGGCTCTGCTCCCTCCGCTGCCACCTCGCTTCCTCTAGCGCCGGCTTAGTTGGCACCTCTGATTCTCTCCCGCGGCTCTTCAAGTTCCCCCTTATGCCTCCACCGACCCCGGCAATGGTGACAACTAGGTCTTATTTTCGGGGAAACGCGGTAGTTAATCCTAGATGTAGAATAGATGTTCCAGTAACGTTCAGTCACTGATAGAGGATAATTGCGCAGACTGTGGAATGCCCACCAGATAAGAGTCTAGTAAGTAGGGAATGAAAAGATGAGACAAGCCCAGGCCCAGCATCTGTCCCATCTAAGTGATTTCCCTGGTCACACTGCTGTCCATCCATTCTGAACGCACATACATCCTGGTGTCACCTGCGTTGTGTTTGTGTCTTGCAGAGAAGAGTTTCCGTGAAGTGCAATGTGAGAAGTACAATGCATATAACTTCACAGACAGACATGGCAGCTTCATTCAGTGGATTCCCAAGTACTCGGGTGTCTCCCCCCGGGACCGATGCAAGCTCATGTGCAGGGCACGTGGCGGCAGCGAGTTCAATGTCTTCCAATCTAAGGTGAGAATTGGTGAATTGCACTTTATTATAAGGCGGGACCTGTAACTCTCCCGATATCAATCACACATTATCAATAACCAAATGATTAGATGCTTGAAAAAATCCTCCCCCCCCCCCCTTTATTTCCATGATAACTGAGTTACAAACATGGTCACTCCCACAACTGATATATGTAAAGTTAACGTGTATCAGAAGGTAAGCGATGGAGTGGTGAAGGTTTAGAACCCCTGTCATGTTTTTATTGTTGTGTCCTCACTGGAGAGATTCACCCCCATTGTCCCTGGGAGAGAACGTAATGAAAATTTGAATGGCACAGTTGTCACCAGAACAGAAATGGGGGGAAATCTTACAATGGGGACACCTGTTGCGTTAGCAACTATGTAAGATGGGATTTCACCGCACTTTGGGAGATTTCCTCTCACTTCCTGTTGTGTCTACAGGACAAAAAGTGAAGGAAAATTTCCCTAATGACAAAGATGACAAGAAAGACTATTAACCATTTCATACTCTATCAACAATTACATGAAACACCCAACCAAAGGGTTTCTTTCTTTCCTCCTTTTTTTGTGTTGGACAAAATAGGGAGTGTATAGGGCCCTTGTATAGAGGGGATAGGGCCCTTGTATAGAGGGTATAGGGCCCTTCCATGGAGGGGATAGAGCCCTTGTATAGAGGGGATAGGGCCCTTGTATAGAGAGGATAGGGCCCTTATATAGAGGGGATAGGGCCCTTGTATAGAGGGGATAGGGCCCTTCCATGGAGGGGATAGAGCCCTTGTATAGAGGGGATAGGGAGCTGAATAGGGAGGCAATAGGGAACTTGTATGGAGGGGATGGGTAGGAGATAGGTCCCTGAATGGAGAGGAGATACAGGCCTGAGTGTGGAGGGGATAGTGTTCTTGAATGGCGGGGATAGGGCCCTTGTATAGAGGGGATAGGGCCCTTCCATGGAGGGGATAGAGCCCTTGTATAGAGGGGATAGGGCCCTTCCATGGAGGGGATAGAGCCCTTGTATAGAGGGGATAGGGAGCTGAATAGGGAGGCAATAGGGAACTTGTATGGAGGGGATGGGTAGGAGATAGGTCCCTGAATGGAGAGGAGATACAGGCCTGAGTGTGGAGGGGATAGTGTTCTTGAATGGCGGGGATAGGGCCCTTGTATAGAGGGGATAGGGCCCTTCCATGGAGGGGATAGAGCCCTTGTATAGAGGGGATAGGGAGCTGAATAGGGAGGCAATAGGGAACTTGTATGGAGGGGATGGGTAGGAGATAGGTCCCTGAATGGAGAGGAGATACAGGCCCGAGTGTGGAGGGGATAGTGTGCTTGAATGGCGGGGATAGGGCCCTTGTATAGAGGGGATAGGGCCCTGAATAGTGATGGGATAGGGCCCTTGTATAGAGGGGATAGGACCCTTGTATAGAGGGGATAGGGCCCTTACATGGAGGGGATAGGGCCCTTGTATAGAGGGGATAGGGAGCTGAATAGAGGGGATAGGGCCCTGAATAGGGAGGGGGTAATGTTGGTTATATGTTTAGATGAAGCACTGAGATCTTGAGGAATGCTGAATTAAGTTTGACTTGCTTAGGAAAACATTACATCCGAATACAGCATACAGAGAGAGATCCTTCTGATGGGATAGGGCCATTGTAGGGAGGGGATAGGGCCATTGTAGGGACGGGATAGGGCCATTGTAGGTAGGGGATAGGGCCATTGTAGGGAGGGGATAGGGTCCTGAATAGTGATGGATAGGGCCATTGTAGGGAGGGGATAGGGCCCTGAATAGTGATGGATAGGGCCATTATAGGGAGGGGATAGCGTCCTGAATAGTGATGGATAGGACCCTTTATGGAGGGGATAGGGCCATTTTAGGGAGGGGATAGGGCCATTGCAGGGAGGGGATAGGGTCCTGAATAGTGATGGATAGGGCCATTATAGGGAGGGGATAGGGTCCTGAATAGTGGGGGATAGGGCCATTGCAGGGAGGGGATAGGGTCCTGAATAGTGATGGATAGGGCCATTATAGGGAGGGGATAGGGTCCTGAATAGTGGGGGATAGGGCCATTTTAGGGAGGGGATAGGGCCATTGTAGGGAGGGGATAGGGTCCTAAATAGTGATGGGATAGGGCCATTGTAGGGAGAGGATAATCCCAGCTGATTCTGCCATGGAGTTCCTTGTTTAGGCCCTTCCTGTGATAGGGGGAAATCTGCTTACCAATGCTGCTCCTGTGTTGTCACCCTCTCACACAAGCTTGCAATAGAGACTAAAGTGACCATTTCAACAGGTCCACCGTTGTCACTATCAGGAAGCCGGTCCGGAGCAATGATTGCAGCCGGAGCGAGTACATGTAGGAAGGAAGCGGCTGAAAGAGCATGGACCAAAGATCAGCACTGAAACAGGAACAAAGGATGAGAAAAGGAAAAACAGGATTTCTTAAGAAACAAAAATGTAAATTGTTATGATACACAGCACTTTAACAAACTTACCGGGTTATTCACTAAAGGGTGAAGAGTTTGGAGAAGTGAACACTCTAGGGTTAGAGTTATTTTGTCCTCGATGGTTCACTTCTCCAAACTCTTCACCCTTTAGTGAATAACCCTGTAAATGTCCCCTTAGGGCTCGCATCCACTTTAAGGGCCCAGTAACACTTGGTTTCCCTGCAATGAAAACCCATTTGAAGTAGTAATCGGATCCTTTCCTATGTGGATGGTTGACTTCTATGCGCTGCAGTTTAGTGTGCAGAGAAAACTGTGTATCGGGTCCATTCCCATTCACACGTGACGGACACAATGAGCAGATCGTCTTTTATTTCTGCCCAAGTGCAAATATTGCTGGACAGTAAACATTGAATTACTAAATACAAAATGTCCGACTCAGTGCAGGTGTCATATGATGGCTGCAAGACAGTCCGAGCTCAGCAATTACCCCCGAAAACATCTGGAAAATATATAGACATCTCTGACATGAAACCTCTGCTGTGTGTCAGGCTCACAATGTCCTATGCGGATTCCTGCACATGGCCGCCGATGACCTCAGCCGAGACGCGTGTCTGTGTGAGAAAAAGCTTCCCAGACCGACTATTGAAATCAGCCGAACATGACTGCAGGTTATGCCAAGTGTACAAAGGAGCATCAAAGTGTCCATAACCCCCATCCCCCCACGGCGGGTGCTGTCAGCTGGAGCGAGGAGAGACAGCCAGGAGAGAGAGAGCGAGGAGAGACAGGCAGGAGAGAGAGAGAGGAGAGACAGCCAGGGGAGAGAGAGAGGAGAGACAGGCAGGAGAGAGAGAGAGGAGAGACAGCCAGGGGAGAGAGAGAGAGGAGAGACAGCCAGGGAAGAGAGGAGAGACAGCCGGGGAAGAGAGGAGAGACAGCCAGGGGAGAGAGAGAGGAGAGACAGCCAGG